CGCTGCCCCGCCGCCGCCGCCATCTTGGCTGCGGGCAGGAAGCGGAAGCGGCGCAACGCGGCCTCGGCCATGGCGGGTGCGGGCAGAGGGCGGCGCCATCTTGAGTGCTGGCAGGGTCGTGTCAGCTCCGCCCTCAGGATGGGCTGTCACGGAATCCCAGGGGAGCTGCAGCTGGAAGGGACCTCTGGAGATGTCCTGTCCAACCCCCTGTCAAGGTAGTGTCGCCTGGATAGGTGACAACGCATCCAGGTGGGTTTGGGATGTCCCCACAGAGGGAGACTCGACACCCTCCCTAGGCAGCTGTTACAGAGCGCTGCCGCCCTCATGGAAAGCTTTTCCTCGTGTTAAGGTGGAACTCGTGGTTTAGTTGATGCACATTGCTCATTGTCCTGTCCCTGAACAGAGTCTGTCACTGTCCTCTGACACCCCTTGGAGACATTTTATGGATTGATGGGATCCCCTCTCAACCTTTCCCTTCTCCAGACTGACCAGGCCCAGCTCCCGCAGTCTCTCTTCACCAGAGAGATGCCCCAGTCCTTTAGTGATCTTTTTTCTCTCTTTTAGACCCACTCCAGCAGCTCCTTGAGAAGCCCAGAACTGAACAGGTTTTTTTTTCCTGAGGCAATGTCACTCCAGACCTGTTCCTGTTGCCTCCCAATGGCTGCTTTTCTTTGGGATTGAGTACGTTCTTGCAGTGCTGTGTCTCAGCTGAGTCTGGACCCGAGTCCAGCCCTTTCCAGGTCTCAGTCTGGATCTGAGTCCAGACCATTCCAGGTCTCAGTCTGGACCTGAGTCCAGCCCATTCCAGGTCTCAGTCTGGACCCAAGTCCAGCCCTTTCCAGGTCTCAGTCTGGACCCAAGTCCAGCCCATTCCAGGTCTCAGTCTGGATCTGAGTCCAGCCCATTCCAGGTCTCAGTCTGACCTCAGTCCAGCCCATTCCAGGTCTCAGTCTGGACCTGAGTCCAGCCCATTCCAGGTCTCAGTCTGGACCCGAGTCCAGCCCTTTCCAGGTCTCAGTCTGGACCCAAGTCCAGCCCATTCCAGGTCTCAGTCTGACCTCAGTCCAGCCCATTCCAGGTCTCAGTCTGGACCTCAGTCCAGCCCATTCCGTGTCCCTGTGACTCGGTGAGGGTGGCTGACCTCACACCACCCCAAAAGCCTGCTGTAAGTGTAGAAGTGATAAGAGCAGTCAGCTGGCTGGGAGAGGAGGGAGGAGGGTGTTGTGTGGGGAAAGTTGAGGGTCTCTGTGCCTCAACCTGCAAATCCTGCCACTGGACAGAGCTTCCTCCTGGACAAACCTGTCTGAGAGCAAGGTAAGATCAGCCCCAGCCTGTGGGTGAGTCACAGAGAGCCAGGACACACCTGGCAGGATCAGCAGAGACTTTGTGTGGGGCCAGGAACTGCTGAATAATGGAAAATGGGGAAAAAAAAAAGCCTTTGTTGCTTTCTAAAACAGGGCTGGAGGAGTTATTAGCAGCAAAAGAGTGCCTGGAGCTGCAGTGCCCAGGTAGTTTTCCAGGCTGGCTGGGAGCTGGCTGTGACTCAGAATCTGTTTGAACCCACCTGCAGGAAAAGGAGAGGCACTCTGGTTCAGTATTAAAGAAAATAAGCCTGACACAACTTTCTGAAGGCACTGTTACACTGATCTGCTGTTGGCTCAGTAATCAGGGCTGAGATTAGCAGCACTGAAAGGATGTGAGGACAGTGATTGTCTTTTAAGGGAAATTTAAACAGCCAGAATAAAAGCTTCCCTTGATGTCTTCCCTCCATTCTGTCTGGGCCCTTTGAAATCTCTTCAAATCACTCATGCTCCCTAGATTAACCCAGCAGACAGGATTAATCTGTATAAAAAAAATACCCCTTTCAGGTCACTGCAGTGACATTTCAATGAGGAGCAGCAATAATGTCCCATTTTAAATTAAGTGCAGGTAACAAAGGTCGCTGTGCCCTCCCACAGCCAGACTTTGGAATAAATCTAACATGTGCTGTGCTTTGAGTTGGGAATCTGTCAAAGGTGCTCAGAGAGGACAGACTGATCTTCTGTCCAGGATCCCAGGGACATCAATCCAAAACTTTCCTTGTACTTGTGTGAAGTGTGCTGCAGTTTGAAGATCTGTTTTACCCCAGAACAATTTCCTTCTTGGCTGCAAGGAGGCTCTGGCAGTGCTGTATCTTAGGGAGAGGTAAGTCTGAGGGATCTGGAGAGAAGGCCTGGAAAAAAGATTTTATTTTCCTAGGAAATTCCAATATTTAACCTGTATCTTCATTTCAGATCCAGCCAAAAAGCTGAAACTGCAAATTTTTCTGATGAGTCTGGATAAAATGCAACATCCAAGCGTTGTTGCTGTGAAAGGGCAAATCCCAGTTCCTTCTCCCAGTCCTGAGCTGGTGTCAGAAACGGTTTCACATCCAAACTCAGGGAGGGAGCAGCACTTGGGGCCTGCTCCAGGATGTGACACTGTGATAGACGAGCTCTCAGTGGTGTAAATTGGGGTAGCCCCATGAAACACCACAATTCCAGGGATGGCTCAAGTGCCTGGGACTTTGCTCCTGAATCCCTGTGGCTTCTGAGTCATCTCTGCTCTCTCCTCTGAGCTTGGCTGTGCTGGCACTGCCACTTTCCCACTCCAGCCCAACCTGGAATCCTCTTTCTTGACAGACTTTTACTCAACTTTTCCCTTCTCCATTTTTTTGCTGAAGTCTCCTAATTCCCCCCTTCCCTCCTGGTGCTAAATATGAGCTGATTACTCAGTTCCAAGAAACCTGATCTTTGTGTCCAAGTGCAATAAACAGCCCCAGACATGTGAGACAGAGCAGTAACAGCTATTTCTGGCCAGATTTGTTCCCTCATCTACTGGCTGCTCCCAGCTCCCTCGGAGGAGGTGAGGTCACTGCTGAGTTTCAGACTGGAGGTTCAAATGGGATTTGGGAATATTCAAAAGCTGTGCCTGAGTCAGGTGAAGCACACCCTGCTGTCACCCCAGGACCAGTGGGTGCTCCCAGTTCCCCAGAGCAGCCACCCAAAATCCTCAGTCCTTTGTAATACAGGAAAGGTCCTGGCACTGGTTTTGTTGAGAATCCCCTCCTGCAGTCATGGCACTTTCTCACAGAGGTGTGCAAGGGCTTGGGGAACAGTTCCCATCCTTCTCTAGACCTGACCCAGGTAATTTTGATTCAGTGGAAGTTTTCCCTTTCCTTTTCTGAACATCTTAAGGAGCAGAAAGGCACCTGTGTCCCCATTGCAAGGCTCTTCACCCCTCTGAACTTCCCAGTGGCTCTGCCACCTGACAGAGCACAGCCAACATCCTTGGCACATCTTGAGGCCAGCCCTTCCTCACCTGCTCACTCAGGAACCATCATCCTCCTCCTGCTCTGAGGTTTCAGGGAGTCACTGGCAGGTCTGCTTTGTTTCTGGCCTGCAGTTCATCCACCTGTCCCAGGCTGGCCTGTGGTCCCTGCAGCATGGCTCTGGGACACAGCAGTTCCCTCTGCCATCTCCTGGGCACACAGGGAACTGGTGGCTTCTCATTCTGTCCCTGCTCCTCTTCCACCTGCCAGGACTCAGCAGAAGGGACAGTGACAGTGCTCTGGGACACCTCAGATCAGCAGTCAGCGTTTCCAGGGCAGGCTGGAGCTCGTGGGGGCAGGAGCAATGCTGGGCTGTCCAGAGGGTGAGAGCAGCAGCAGTCACAGGTAGGATTTAGTGCTGTGCAGCACCTGTCTCCACCTGCACTGCCTGTCCAGGTGTTTTCTCACTCCTGGAGAAGACAGAGGCACATCCAGAGCACGAGTCACCTCTTCTGAAGGCAGATGTGTCTGGCAGCCCCCCTTCTCCTCACTGGCCTGCCCTTCCTCCCCCAGGTACGACCCACACTTCAACACCTGGCCAGCATGGAGCACAGGAGATCCCACTTCAGCCTGAGCACCTGTGACGGGCTCCCCTACACTGTGGGAGGGCACAACACCCAGTGCCCGCTGGCTTCTGAGTGCTACATCCCCACCACCACCAGCTGGCACAGCAAGGCCGCCCTGGAGACGCCTCCACCATCATCCACGGCCAGCTGTGGCTACATCAGGCACACCCACTCCAGCTCCGTGTGCTGCTACAAGGCTTGGACAGCTGGAGGGAGCAGCCTGGGCTGGGCACAGCCTGGGGCTGGCTGAGAGATGGAGGGAGCCTGGAATGAGAGCAGGAAGAGGTATCAGAACTGCATCCAGTGCTACAACCCCGACCTCAACGAGCGGGCTGAGGGTGAGGAACTCCCCGATGCCATGGTAGGTGTCTCGTGCTGCACCATCACACTCCCACCATCCCTGGGCTCCAGGTCCAGCTCTGTGGCCTCGGCAGCAAGCAGCACGTAAAGAGCTGAGTTCTACATGGCTTTTGCCAGCAGCAAGGGAAGGACACGCAGCTCGAGAGTGTGGGACAGCTGGGTAAGGAGGCACGCTGATGTCTGGGGTCACTGCAAACTTTGGGAGCTAGGAAATTGTCCCCTGAGCTGCCTCCATCTCCATCTCGAAGCCTAAGCAGGGAATGCAGGCACAGAAGCAGGACAGAGAGCTTTTCTCCCCAGCCTCCAGCACTGGATTGCAGCATGGATAGGGGAAAACAAAAAGGAGAAAATAAAGAATTCAGCCAAACTGTAATAGTGGAAAAGAAGGACCCTCGCTTCCATCAGCTTCCCACAAAACTCACAACACAAGTTAGGGGTAAGAAAAATTTATTTACTTCTCTGGTAACAGGGACCGCTCATTTACCAGGAAGGATGATGCCATCATACTGTGAAAGAAACACAAAGAAACAAAAAGAACCAAAGTGAGAAATCACCATCAGGCAAGATCAGGGTGTGACTTGTGTAGGTCTAGGACAGTCTGTCCACACTTTCTATCAAAAACCCCCCAAGAAACTATCAGCAGTCCCCACCTCTTGAGATTTCCAACCCAGCTCTCAGCAGCTCCCATTCATTATCCTGTTATTTATTATATGGACAGATAACCCCAAGAATTTGTTTTAATTGCAGATATCTCCATCCTCCAAGCGTGGCAGCTGAGCCTGGAGCTCTGTCAGACCAACAAATCCTAACCCTGCCTCCTCACTCATGATCCCCAAACATGCAACTCCTCCAAAAACTGAGAGTCATTTCTACAAGAGCTGGTAATTCCTCCCGGCTCTCCTGCCAAGAGCAGCTCTTTCAGTTCAGCACAAAAAAGCACAAACAGCATTCCTGCTCTAACATTTCTATTTAGTAGCAGCACCTTCTACTACTCTGGGACAGTAAAAATCTACTATTCAAGCCCTCATCAAGATCTGCCCAGTGATTTGCTCCAGCCTCTCCATGAGGAATTTTGCTGTTCCTTGCTAGGAAACTCCTGGGATACAAAAATAAAGATGTACCTTTTGCTGGAACCAGCGCATGGCTTCCTCCTTCCCAATCCTGTGCTTGGCCCCGATGTTGCCAGTCCTGCGTTTCTTGTCAGCAATGCTGAATCCCGGCCTGCCCAGCACCTGCAGGAGGAGGCAAACAGCACTGCTTCATCCTGGCATTTACTGCTTTCTTAAACATTTTTCCAAGAGGGAAATGTCCTCATCAGTGATGCCTTGCTGCTCTCTCCTTCCCCAAACCCAGCCCAATGATATCCCCAGGAGTTGTTGTCAAAACAACAGAGTTTGTTTCTGAAGAGGCTTTGTGGGATTTGTCATAAATCAAGGATTTTATGGCAGCTCTGGGAATCTCAGATTAGAAAAATGTCAGCAAAATCCAAATCTATCTTCCAGCACTTGGCAGCTAGTCCATGGGAGCCAGGGCTTGCTCTAGGCTCCTTCTGGAGCTTTCCCACAAGCCCAGAAAACAGGGAATACTCACCACATAGAAATCCAGGCCGTAGATCCCGATACTGGGATCGTATTTAATGCCCAGATCAATGTGTTCCTGGATTCCAAAGCCAAAGTTCCCGGTGTCTGAGAAGTTGTTTTTTCTCAACTCGTATTCTCGCACCTGAAACGTTGGTTCTTGGTCACTATTTTGTTCCTGACTGGAAGCAGAATCAAAACTCCTGCCCACTGCTACCAGACCCCAAACTTCTTCACAAGTTATTGAGTCCTTATCCCAAAAATTTTACTCCCCCAGCTTGGTCCTAAATTCCAGCAGCAAAGACAGAACACGAAACAAAATCAGCTGCTGCACCGATTAGTTCTTAAATAAGGATCAAACAACACCCAGATTAACAGTGTGAACACTTCATCCCATGGATCTGACCTGCACCTAGATCAGCTGCAACATTTCAGAGCACACATTCAGCCAGAATGGAAAGGTTCAATTTTTCCACAAACCAAAGATCCAGCCCAAAATCCTCACCTTCAACCCCTTCTCCAGAATCTCCTCTGCTTTGGCCCCGCGAACCGTGCAATGAACAGCGATTTTCTCATTTCTCCTGATCCCAAAGGATCTCACCGTGTATCGGGCTGTAGGCAGCAATAGTTACACTCAGATCACAGCCAGAGAATTCCCACCCGGGGATTCAAAGCTTCTCAACACGCCATAAACTCAAGGGAATTAAAAAGAACTAAGGCAGCCCCACATTCCGTTTTAAGGGATGTTGGCAGAGCATAGTTTGAGTTTGGAGACATAACTCAAATGACATAAACATGCACGAATCCCTAAATAATGAAACCCCCCAGCTCTCCCGACACCGGCTCTACCAAGGAGCCCTTTCCTGCGAACCGCGCTGCCACCGCACCCACGGGAAAGGAAGAAAAACAACCGAGAAAACAACCAGGGCTCCTCCACAGTTCCTCACCTTTGGAGAAGACGGGGGTCTGCCCCGTGAGCTGCTCCAGCACTTTGGCGGCGCGGGTGAGCCGATCCCCGCTCTCCCCGACGCAGATGTTGAGGCAGAGTTTGCGGATCCGCAGCTCCCGCATCGGGTTCTCCTTCTCACCTTGGTCTTGCTGCGGAGAGACCACACCGAGGGTAACCGGGGATTCCCTGGGCAGGGCTCGCCGCTCGCCCCGGCAGCCCCAGGACGGTTCGCCAGGGGTCCGGAGAAAGGTTTCCGCAGCCGGACACCGCGCCCCGCTCCCCGCCGGGCCTCAGTCCCGGTGTCGCGGTCCCTTCCCGAGCACCGCCGCCATAGGGCGGGCCGCGGCCTGTTCCCACAGCCGCTCCCTCATAGCGTC